ATATATATATATATATATATATATATATATATTTCCCATTATCTTTTCTTCTAATATATATATATATATATATATACATATATATATATATAATTCCCATATATCTTTTTTTTTATATATATATATATATATATATATATATATATATATATATAGATAGATAGATAGATAGATAGATGTATGTATGTATGTATGTATGTATGTATGTATGTATGTATGTATGTATATGTATGCACATTTCATTGAATACGACAGATAAGATGCTTTGATTTAGTTTCTTACACAATTTCTCATGTGATCTAATAATTTTTCAGATGATAAATTATATAAAAACTGTGCGAATGCTCTTTTTTCCTAGCCCTTTCGGATATACATTTAGCCATTTTCACGTATTAAATATTTTAACTGTTAAATAAGAAATAGTTAGTTGCATTTATGTAATCATGTAAGTTTTTCATTTTTCAAAACAATGTCAAGATGTTTTATCCATGTACATAGTTGATATTATTAAATGTTGATTATTTTATCTTAGATCGCATGAGAAATTGTATAAAAAACTAAAAATCAAAGCACCTTGTCTGTCGTATTCAATGAAATGTGCATGAAAGTAGGATTGCTGCCTAAATACACACACACACACTCGCCCGCGCACATACATATGGAGATAATGAGAAAAAGTGCAAAAAGTTTTAAAGATGCGTATTACTGATGTGTGTTAGTCTAGGCGTCTTCAGATCGGTATTTGTCAATAGGTTAAACATGATAGAACATACAATCGATTTCACATACGAAACAGAATGAAACTGTATTTCACCATTTCTCGACGTCATGTTAATATGCTCATATAAGGATATACAACTTAAGATCTATCGAAAATCCACAAATAATAACATTTACTTCTATCAAAATAATAAAACAAAATCCAGAGTAATTATAGGCTTTTACATAAGAAATCTTAGAAACTGTAGCCGCCACCCTAATAAAATTCCTTTCTCGAGGAAGAGAAACATATTAGAACTTTCATTCTCCTTCAGTACCCAAATTATTTCCTTTACAATGCCAAAGACAAAAACCTACAATAACCACAGAAAAAATACAATATCCACAGATAATTATAATCTCAACAACCATAACAAAAATAGGCACATCATCCGACCTACCATAACGCCAACCATCGAAAATAACTTATCCACCCTTAATCTAAAATCCATCAACTCCTCTACAAAAATAAGAGATATAGTTAGTATTAAATGCGATAGCAAATACAAGACAGAAATAAAAATATACAGAATTTATTGTACAAAATTTAATTAATTCTTCCTCTCATCCTAAAAATCCTATCGCGTTTTCCTTGCACACATATCTTTCATTCCGAATCCAAAGTCGCCGAACATAATACACGTCGGCGAAAAGCGTCGTTAAAAAGCTTTTTTCATTGTCCGATTACGTCCACTTTTGTTTCGGATAACATTCTACACCCTACTAACACGCATATATATATATATATATATATATATATATATATATATATATATGTGTGTGTGTGTGTGTGTGTGTGTGTGTGTGTGTGTGTGTGTGTGTGTGAAAATATATAGAAAATAGGAAAGAACTCGTTAGGTAAATAATCCAAAGTTCTATAGTATTTTATTATTTTTTAAAAACAGTGCTCGATACAAAAGTTGAGCCTAAATATAATTATTTATTTAAAAATATGATTCCATCGCTACATAAGAGTTCTCATGTTTCAAAACAAGAGCCGAAAACTTGAATATAATTATTTGAAGTAAATTGAATTAAAGTACCAAGCTCTGTTCCATCTTCAAGCGATTTTTCTTTTTTTTTTGGGGGGGGGAGCTAATTCTTGAAATTTACGCGTTTTATAAGCATATTCATTATTAAAATTAAAATTACTATGGTAACGTTTAGAGCAATTATTTTTTTAAAAAATGGGGCGTAAGGGTTAATAATTTGTATCAGTATCTCAGTTACATTCAAAGAGGTCGTCAGGGTAAGGTTGGGGTGTCTAAATTCAAAGCGGGCGATGACATCGTCTAGTCTGTTTAAGTGTCTATGGAGATTTATTTATTTTTTTTTTTTATTTTTGCGTATATAAAAAAACTGTCATAATTTGCTAACATTTGTTTTTTTGACGACTTCATAAAGGTTTTTATTATTATTATTATTATTATTATTATTATTATTATTATTGGGTAGGGCATTTAAACTTTTTATTTAGAAATATGACAATGTGTAGTTTTTCCTGTAGGCATAAAGGACATGGGTCATCCCAAGTTTTAGAAGTTCTAGTTTTGTTTATAATTTTTCATTTTACTTTTGGTGTTTTATTCATTTCCTTCAAATGCCAAAAATATTTAGATAGAGATGTCTGATTTCTTTTATTGATATTTTTGAAAGAGCACTTATGCTGCTTCCATCTTGGTTTTAAATTCATTCTTCGTAGACCCAATGTATTTCATATTAGTATTAGGACTCTCAATGGATGAGATAGTACATTGGTATACCACAGATTTTACGCGGCATATATTTTCCAATGGGCAGTCTTCTGGGTTTCTACAATCACATAATTTTTCACTATTTTTGTCTAATTTAAGTGTAGGGTTTTATTAATACTATTCTGGCATGGGGGTTTATTCAGGATTTTTTTTATTGCGTTTTTTTTAATACTTTCTAGATTTTCAGTGCAACTATAACTTAATTTTAGGGTATTTTTATTAAATATTTTACTAAGTCTACTATTAGTAGGAAAGTGTTTTTCAATCAAAGCTAGGAATTTATGTCTTAGCTTAATACTAACCATTTGGTTGAACGGAGGGGTATAGCAAATGATTTTTTCTTTTCCTGTTTTTTCTTCTGGTTAGTACAATTGTTTCTATAATTGATGTTAGCATTTTTGGATCCACTATTTTTTAGGGCTGCGTTATAAAAAATTACTGTGTTGTTGGAATATTTCTTTATTAGCGGAGTTAATACTGATTCTATTGATGAGGGTATATGCTTAATTATGGATGGAGGATGGTTTGACTTAGGGTGTATATACAAGGGGTTGGTGTTAGGTTTTTTATAAGGTAGGTATGTGTTGTTTATTAAATCTAGAGTTACGTCGAGGAAGTTTACCCTTTTTAATTTAGTACAGACTGCTGTTTTTAAATTTAGATTTCTAAATTCACTATATATAATCTTTCTAATTTTCCCTATTTTAAAATTCGTAGAACTCCTCACTACCATGAGCCCGTCATCTCTGTACAGTCCGATGTCCTTAATATCTAATTCACGGTGCGCGGTCAGGTTGTACAGTATTAAAAGACAGAGAAGGTCAGAAGACTCTGCAGAGTCTAAAGATCCCATAGTGATGTCAAAATGGTCATTATTGTTTTTAATCCATTGATGCCCATTATGAATTAGGACAGACTTTTTTTGCGCAGAGAATTATATTTATATTTATTTCTTCCTTTGTCAGATCAGAATACACAGCAGCAAACTCCAGGGCAGTCGTGAATAGATCCTTCGATATTGATGGGTAGTAATCCACAATATCTAACTATATTAGGGTGCAATCAGGTTTATTATTAATATTGGTAAACCAATTGATGACATCTTTGGTATTAATCCATAATTTTAATCCAAGGTGGGTTTTAATTTGCCAAGTAATACTTTCTAGGATTCTTTTGCTTATCCTACCGATGTCGGGTCGAGTAGGGTTAATCATTCTTGTAGTAGGGTTTTCCATAAAATATTATGTGGTCCTTAAGAGTTATGTAACATTCCTTTTCAGCAAGTTTGCCTACTCTACTCTATCGCCAATTTTTAATTCATCAGTAATTTTTTTAATAGTTCTGTTAATACTATCAACCATATTTATGTTGTTGTTGTAAGCTTTTTTATAAGTCCTAGTTATTTTTTTTAATTAAGTTGTTGTAGTAATCTGCTGTCAATTTAGGGAAGTTGCCAGTTTTGTCAAACTTAACTAGTATTTTATCCCAATTATTGATGATTTTAACTATTTGGGCTAGATGCTTTTGGAAGTGGCTTTTCTTTTTTTGAAAGGAGATGTTATTGATAATGTTGAGTAGGTTTTTTTTCAAATTCATATAGCTCATTGTTGAATGGTGCAACTTTTTTTTTACTTTTAAAGCCATAAACTTCGTGTTCTTTATTTGTTATTCCCTCGAAAGGAGAAGAATGCTTTCCATGTCATTCTTCTAATTAATTCCTCTGTTTTTTGTAAAATTTAACAAAATAATTCCGTTTGTTAGTGTATGGAATGTTCTTCAGAGAAATTCCAAAATTTACTTTTTCGATATTTTTAAAGATGTTATTTTAAAATAAAGGTTCAGAGTGCTCGACCTTAATTTAGGATCCGATATATGTGTGAAAATATATAGAGAATAGGAAAGAACTTTTTTTTATATATATATATATATATATATATATATATATATATATATATATATATATATATATATATATATATCGAATTCAATCGAGTTCGAATTACAGTCGAGTTCATTACATTCACCTACATGCAAATACCCCTTGTGAAAGGTATGAATATATCTCTTCTATCCCCAGCTATGGGTATATAGCAGGACAGACATATAGCATTGGTTGGTGACTAGTCTAGGAGAAAAAAATCTAGCTGGTAATATAATATTAATAAAAATTTCAATGGCTACCATTAACTCACATTTTTGTGAATTCAGCTAGGATAAAGCATTTTAAGATTTAAGATAAATTGATTTGTTTTTACCGACTATCAACCCATTAAAAGTTATTTAAAACCAGAAAATATTTTTAAATTGTAAGAATTTGGGGAGATAGTAAGATTTCACTGATACAAATCTTACTAATTCACCGGTAGCTGGAGGAAAGAAATTGATGTTTGTGCGTATGTGTATATAAGGAACCCGACTGGAATTGGAACTCGGCTCCCTATTTCAAATTCCGAGCCGTTATCTATTACACCACTTGTACATCCAAGATTTCAGCACCAGGTATTCCCAAGTGGTTACTAATCTAGGTATTGACCAGGCTGGATGTTGCTTAACTTCGGTGATCTTACGACAACCCGTGTTTCAACGTTATATGGCTTTAAACCATGCTTATTATATAGACACCAAATCGAGTAATATAAGCTTTTGTTAGATACGAATAATCTATAAGGGAATATCTGGACAATTTAATATTTGTCAGTTCTCTAAGGAGATTTTTTGCCGTGTTTGATTTCGTCATAATCAGTTTTGCTTACATTATGTAAGTAATATAAATCCAAGATTAAAAACCTGTCAAATATGATAATAGTCAGTAGAAAACTGTGTTAGCCTTATAGCTAAGCATTGGAAATAAGAGATTAATGCTTGTAACATCAGAAACTGCCATTTACTTACAAGTTTTACTCATTTGCACTGGAATAATTACAGACAGTAGAAAGATTACTTAACTGAAATGCTTGCGTAGGCTTCGTTTTTAATAAACTTTTTTTTCCGCTAAAAGACGACTTTTAAAAGTTTTAAATAAACTAAAACCATACAGAACATCATTTTCTACATGGATGTCCAACAAATACTAAAAAAATATCAACTAGTTAAACGTAATCGTTTTCTGTGTAAAATTTGGTACTATACACATGAATTTGTGGCAATTTTTAAATAATGTATATTAAATAATTGAAAACCTCTTATGAATAGCAGACGCAGTGAAGTCTGAAGAGACATAAATTTGCCGTTCTGGTTACTATCACCATGACGAATCCAACATTGTGAAGTGAAAATGTAATAAAGCGTGGTCATAAAGAATCTTGAAAAAAGTTATGGGATGCAATGTCACCACTAGAGAAGATGTTGCTTAAAAGAAAATAATGATTTGCTGGCAAAAAAAAACAAAAAACAAATGGAAATATTACGCACATAAAAGAAGGCGTGTGTGGTCAACATTCAGCATGAAACAGAGGGTGCAAGGAAATAATGTCAGAAGTACAAGAGACAATAAAGAACATGCAGCAATGTTAAAGAAACACACACAGAAAAACAGAAATGAAAAAATATTACAAAATTATCACTAACAAATCTAGTCATGTCTTTAACATATACCTTTAAAATGAATCGAAATAGTTTTAGTATATAATCATACCAACTAACGTTCTGTCACCCATAAAATACTTGACTGATGACAATCTTGTCTTGAAGGAAATGCATGCTTTTATTAGTTCAGAAGAATTAATAAAATACTGAAAAAGAATAGCATTTGTAATGTGAACTGAGATTAATTTGGTGCTCTCTAAGCAATATGACAGTTATGTCCGTTATGGATTCGGAAGAAAAATTATAATGCATCAATTTTTAAATTTAGATGCGAAGAAAACGACTTATTTTAAACTTAGTGTGCAAAAAATAATGCTTATTTATTCTTTACAATTGAACTAAATCTCTAATGGAAATTTCTGTGTTGTCTGTTTTTCTTCAAGTAATTCGTACACTAATAAATAGATGAGACTGCATTAATTCAAAACACGTTGCACTTTACCAGTGTAATACACATCCCTCAAAAGACAGATGATGCTATGAATTCGTGTCGGAAAATGGAAATATGAACCTAAAGACGCGCCCAGTTTTAAGAAATATTATTAAAAGTCTAAATGTCTATGACGAGGCGAAAAAATGAAAAATGGCAATGATATCATTAAGCAGCTCAGAGATAAACAGATTATAAACTCGGCTGAGGACACTAATATGCCGGCTGTGTCCCTTTGTGGGTCGATTCCACTGATATATTTACGAGCGTCTGCAGAGCCAGTCGCCATAGGATGTCGTCATGGTGGGTCTAAAGTTTATGGCATCCACGTGTTCAAGTCAAGGCTAGGAACACCAAAATTAACTACCTTTATTCATTCAACAAGAAAAAAATCACGAAACAAAAAACAGAAGACAGATTTGATTAAAAGAGGGATTTTGATAGTTGTATTATATTAAACTAGGTATCTCCCCAAAAAGATACACCTATAAAGATTAAAATGCATTTAAAAAATTAAAAAATATATATTGAAGCTTTAATTTTAGTTTAATTTCAAGCCAATACATTGATAATTAACTTTTTCCAGAACAAATATAATTTGATGTCTTTCAAACTGAATTTAAACAGATTAGCATCATATTTTTCTACTTATCAGTAAAATGGATAATTTCGTCCATATTTACAAGTTTATAAATTCAACATAATACTCTTTTATTAAAAAATATTTAAAATATTAAAATATTTAAAATATTCTCATATTTTACTGAATTGTCGGCAATGTATTTGGTCCTCATTGGGTGCCTCATGGTTGGAGCGTTTGACTAAGCTAAAACACGTTTAGTAAATTTCAACTAAACTTTGGATATGAAAAGTACAATGAATCGAAACTTCGTAACAACTGAATAGATTTTTAACGGATTACCGTTATTTTTACGAGCGTCATTAGTACCCAGAAAATTGTCTATAAAACTAAATAGATATAAAAATGCGAAATCAGATTGACAAATTGACAGAATAAGATATATGTTTATAATTTTTTTTATCTGAAATATTTAGCTTTGTCTCAAAACATGCCCATTGATGTTAACATTGTTAAATGAAATCATTCCAGGCTAATTTATAGATACATTCGTTATATTCACACGCGAAATTAAATTGAAACTATTGAATTTATATAACGAAGTAAAACTGAAATATAAAAATTCATGACAAAAGTACGTGTTAAAAGCATAACTGCTGTATCTCTGGAATATATTTTTTCCGTTTCTGGGAGCACATACTATCCGTTCTTTTCTTCTTCTTTTTTGTTAACTTAATATATATATATATATATATATATATATATATATATATATATATATATATATATATATATATATATATATAATTTGATATTATTCATTTCTATTCATCTATCTCTAGAAATCTCTTAGTGTATTGCAAAAAACTATATGGAAGTAACTGATGATGGTATTGATATTATATTTACTGCCAGAAAATCACTATTAGCCCTTTCACCTTGATTAAGTGAATTCGACTTTCCAATGTGAGCGTATGATTCGGCTCAGGTTTCTGATCTTGTCCGCCTAATATATTCGCGAAACTCTTAGAATTGTGGATTCTAAACGAGTAGGTTTATATAGAGACAACGGACTTATTTGTCTTCCAAATAGTAACGGTCCACTTACGGTGAAACTACAGTAAAAAAAAATTAGAGTCTTTAAGTTACTGGGGATCAAGATAGAGATTACTTCTAACATCAAAATTGTTGATTACCTAGATATCACTCTTAACCTGAACACCAATACCTTCAAACGCTACCATAAGAAACAGAAACTCCTAACTACATCAATGTTGAATCGAACCACTGCACTACTATTTTGAAGAAGATACCAATTACTGTAGGCACTAGAATTAGTAAACTTTCATCTAATGAATATATATTTAATAAAAACAAAGAACTGCACAATAAGACACTCCAAATATGGGGCTTTCACAATAAACTATCTTACGTGAAACCCACAAATAACACTAGGGTGAATGAAATGACTTGCAAGCATAGAAATAGAAAAAGAAATATAATTTCGTTCACCGTCCCCCTTCTGTAGGTTATCCCAAATTCACATCGGACAATTTTTTGAAGCTTACAAACAAACATTTCCAAAATAACCACCAATTTAATAAGAAAGTATCAAAATAAGTTATTCCTGCACAATGAATATGTACAAAATTATAGATTCCCACAACAAAGATATTCTAAATAAATTTTAACGTCTCAGCAATATACTTAGTATGGATCCTCCAGGTAACTGCAGAAATAGTGTACCTTGACCAGTTGAAGGAAAATGCAGAGCCTCGAATGTGATCTACCAGGCAACCATTTACCCCAAAGAGAACAAAAACAGCCACCATATTTACATTGGAATTTCAGCGAGTGAATGGAAACAACGATTATATAACCATAGGCGCTCGTCTTCCAACCCAAATTTAAATTTCAAACTGCCGTTTCCAAAAAAGTTTGGGAATTGATGAAGAAAGACCTGAAACCTCAGATTTACTGTAAAATGATACGTTTCATCGAGACTCCTAGTAATTTTAAAGGAAGATGTAATCTTTGCCTACAAAAGAAAATTAGAATAAATAAATTTGATAATCAAAAGAAAATTTTAAACCAAAGGAAATAATTAATTTCCAAAACTAGTCACTGTAGTAGATTTAAACTAATCCAGTGTCTTACTGAACTTGCGTGAACTGTTATCACTTTACACATGTACTGTTACTTCTACTTCTAATCTTTCTTATCCCATAACCTATCATAATTTTTTCAACAATTACTATAAATGTTGTTTCCTTCTCACCCATTTACGATTACTGCTATGGTGACAATCACCATTATCTTTGGTTTTGTCTTATTTTTGTTGTTATTATTATTATTATTTACTTATTTTATTTACATTTTGACTCATCCTTGTTACTCATTAATTATATTTTAATTAGACAAGGTCGAATTTACTGCTTATAAACTCCAATTCGACCTTGTCTACCGATTGGTTCTTTGTAGCTCAAGCGGTAAAGGCACGTCAGCGTATATGACGGTTCCGTATAGGATGCAGGTTCGAATCCTGTCAAAGAACGAAAATTTTCTATGAAAATTTCTCGGACATTCAGGCCGGTAAATGTTATTTAATACTGTTTATCATAAACAGAGCATTTGCTTAAATACTTGTATCTATAAAATAACAACGTTAAACATAAAAATATGTCTTTAATAAATAAATTGTCGGACCTTGTCCATTTCTTAATATATATATATATATAATTGTATATTATGGTTATATATTTGATATTTTACTGATGATTCTCTTTCGGGGAGGTAAACCGACCCTGAACCCGTTTATACGGGTACAATGGGCATATTTTTGGCCGAGCCCACGGGCTCGGAGAGCCCACGTTAAAAATGCCTTGTGCCATATGACGCCCTGGTGGGGGGGTGATTGAATATAGTCAGTCGTTCAAGTCTCGACAGGCTGATCGGTTGAACTCTCTGCCTTCGGGCAGGGAGGAACCCGAA